GAAGTTAGAATAAATATGAAGATTATAGAAATTAGAGAAATAATTCTATAAAATTTCTTCTTTGTATTTTCAAAGACAGGGCAGAAAATTCATTTGTAACCCTATCACAAACATGCTGTTTTTACTTTAAATTAGGCTTTAATTATTTAAGAATTTTCTTCACTATTTTTTTAAACATTTTTATTCATTGTTGATGGACCCTTATTTTATTTATTTATATGCAGTGTTGAGAATCAAACCCAGTGCCTCACACATGCTAGGCAAGAGCTCTACCACTGAGCCACAACCCCATCCTCTTCACTATATTGTTTTCAAATGAATGAAAACTGTATGTTATTTGAAAAGGAGATTCTTTATAATAAGACCTTTAAAATTACATTTAAAACTACAGAAATAGCTTTTCTAGTGATTAACATTTTTATAACATAGCAATATATTACATTGCATACTTTAAAAATTAAATTTAAAACTATGTAAGGGTTTGGGGATATAGCTTAGTTGGTAGAGAGCTTGTCTAGAATGTATAAGGCTCTGGGTTCAATCCTTGGCACCACAAAAAATAAAAGTGAAAAAGAATAAAACTATGGAAATAGCTTTTCTAGAACCTACTATATCTACAATAGAGAAATATATTTCATTGCATACTTTAAAGGGAAAGTTTTTATTTTTAAATAAAATAGCAGAAATTACAGTTTTATTTGTATTGATAGTAGAGAAAGAATGGCACATTTTTTTACTTGTAATAGGTATTATAAATTCGCTACATAATTTAAAATGTTTATTTTCCTATTGCTAATACATAAAAGTACAGTGACATTCATATGGCTTGCTATAATCATTAATCTTATAGTTAATATAAAAGTAGCTCCTCAGGAACTCTCTAAGGAAAACAGCTATTTTCTTTAGTTTGGAAAGATTCAATTTCTTTTAAAGAAAATGGACACACTTAATGAAGAGTTTTGAATCAAATTTACAAAAATACTATAAAAAATCTTGATCAATTCTTGATGAATTAAAGATAGGAATTCATTCAAAAAGGCAATGATTTTTATATTATTCAATTACACAAAAGATAAACAAGTTTACCTTAACGCCAATGTTGAAAGAAACACACAAAGCCCTAGAAAGTCTAAGATTTCATCACACATTATGTCCAAATCATGTAAAAATATAGTTTCAACATATTTGCTAGTTGTATATAGGATGGACATTTTCTTGAAAAATTTTCAAACATAATACATATAAAATCAGTTCTCCATAAAATCAGAGGTTTCTGTAAAAGCAATGATCTAGGTACTTATGAATAGTGTCTCTGGGTATTATTGGCCTTTCAACCAAAGAGCCATTAAATTCATCTCCAAGACATTGACATCTTTTCTTTAACTAGTAATTTTTTTATAGCAGTATCTACTAGTCTCATATCTACAATTATGTCCTACAGTATATTAACATTTAATTCCTTTGTTAAAGTTACATAATTTAGAATATATGCATATAAACACATTCAAATGTATACATGTATTTGTGCACATATCCTTAAATCTAAATTCAAATTATTTATTTAGAATGCCATAAACTTTGTTCCTGTTTAAATGGCTTTGGTCAAATTTAATGAAAATAAATTCAGCTAGAAATCATCTCCTACATATTAAAATTTTATTACAGACACACTTATGACTAGAAAATCATTAAAAAATTTTTAAATCACAACTGGATCAGATATTTAATTAAAAACCATTATCTTTTAGCAAAATGTTTGCAAGATCCATAACTACATTATACAATAAAAGAAAGTCTAACTTTGCCCTGGGTTTTCTATAATATTAGAACAAAGTTCTCCATTATATAATACAATTGTTTTATTTTTCCTATTATATCCCCCCCAAAAAATTCATTTAATCATTACTATTAGGTAAATAAATATTATATTCCAATTTTAGAATTAATGATAAATATTTGTGACAGTTGCATAAACTGGAAATCTCAGGACCTATAAGTATTCCAACATCATATAACTGTCTTCTGTTAAGTGTGAATTCTTTAAGATTAGATGGCTCTAAAAACAGGTCTGAAAATCTGTTTGGGAAATTCACTCTAAATTGGTTTAATATACTCACATCAAAAAGGATAGATTGTTTTTATTTCTATTTGTTACTAAGCTAATGGGAAGTTGAAATTAGCTTTCAGATTTGTAACACATTTTATATTTTATTTATTAATCTTATAGCTGATTTTGCAAATATAATTAAGACAAGCTACCATCTTTCAGTTTTATTTTTACTTAGCATCGAGTCTAATATGCAAATATCACAATGCTAGTACCACGTTTCCCATTTTCATATTTATTGATGAGAACAATCTGATAATTTGATCAGAAAGAATAACTAATATCCTTCACTATGAAGTGAGATTCAAAACTACTCATTAATAACTATCATTTAGAAGTTTATGAAATCAGTATTCAAGGATATCCCCTAAACAGATGCAATATTCAGTTTGACAAAAATGCTTTAAAATATAATTGTCATATTTATTCTGAAACATTAGTAAGACTTACTAAAACATCACTTTAAAAGATAAAATCATGACGAATGTATGAAATCATGACACTAAAAATATTTTGTGGGTGACAGGGTAAAATTTTCCTATATCATTTAATCTTTCTCCTCAATTCACTCAGTATATATTGGAAATAGCTTAGACTTCCAGTATATAAAGACTTAATTGTTTTTGAAGTGAAAAACTAAATGTTAATGTGAAAAACTAAATACTCATATGCATCTTTTTTACATGCTGCTGTTATTAATAACATTGGTAAAGAGTCATGGAAATAAATGTTTAAAAGCAAGTCCAAACTTACATGTTTTCTTAAGACAGTGGAAAAACAAGTAAACAATCTTATTTTGCTTACATGGAAAGCAGCTGGTTTCCTTTTTGTATATCTTTTCATGTCTAAACTTGTTAAGTCAGTGGTACATACACATGAGGTAATTAATTTATCGTCCTTTTTGTCCTTGCAACCAAAAGGTGGCACCTCTAAAAATTAGTTCGCAAAAGGGACACTGTATTTTTAAAAAACTCTTTTAAATGTCAAAGCCATAGAAAGTGTGTGTGTGTATGTGTGTGTGTGTGTGTGTAATTCTGCTTAGGTAAGACAGTTGCCTCAAATGGAATATGGTTTTAAATATAATACAAATACATTGATGGCACAAGAAGCCAGCTTTCCTCCTAGTTTGCATATAAACTTACACACTTTTTAAAGATACGTGGTGAAAAACACTTTCTGGTGCACACAGATAAGTATGGAAGAAAAAGCAAAGTAAAAGAAGAATCCCTTTTCTTATCCCAAGTGGACATCTCGGCCAGGCAGGGAAGACTTGGCATTTTCCCTGATAAATCAAAGGAAAGGATTTATCTGGATCCTAACATCCTTTGGTTTCTCTGTGCTTAGGCAGGACACTCTTGGAATGCTTTCCTGTTACATCCAACTAGACACTTCTCCTTCCCCTCCTCCTATCTGACAGTAATCACTTTGCTGTATCTAATGAATAATAGGGAAAAGGAAGCTTATGATGGAATTGGAGATGCTAAGCTATTGTCAAGGCTCTGTCCAACAAGTACCATTTACTTGACCTGTTATGCAGACACCTAGGGATATGTTGTTGTTTTGAGGTGTTTCCCTTTCTTTTAACAAGACATGAGGACTGAAATGTTTTCTCCTTAAATTATTTTTAAAATTTGAGACTATCTTCCTACCATTACTCTCCAAACTTTGTTCCAGTAGAAGAGGATTCTTGATCAACTGAGCCATTCCATGTGCCTTCTAGGGAGTGTTGAAATTGCATAAACCTTATTTTACATCCATTAAATATTCTCATATTAAAATAAAATAAGGGAAGCCATGAATTTGTGATTCAAGCAACAAAATGCAAGTAGATACAAAGGTAAAAACAATGAACATTCATATACAAATGTAGCTTTGATACAAAAGTTAAAGTTGCTTTTATTTCACTGAGGGGTTAATATTCGATAAGTGAATATCAACCTGCACACAAAGCTAACCTGGAAGATTAGTTTCCTCAAGGTAGAATTTCAAGCCTCCTGATAATATCAGAGTCACAAATGTTTTGAAAGTTTTTAACATTTTCCCCCTCCCAACAGAATGGCCATATCAAAGAACCTCAGGAAAGTAATCTTTTTCTCATATGTTTTGGACTCAAGAACCCCTCAAAGTTCAGACATTTACACTGATGTGCAATACCAAATTGTCAGCCCCACAGGACAGATGGAAACAGGAAAAAGTCAGATGGCTGGCACTTAAAAGCAACAGCAATTAAACAGTTGAAAGTGGGTTGAATTGTCAGCTTATTTTTGTTCCATTTGAACGGATGAAGTGAGAGACATAGCCTCTTGAAAGGAGGAGATCAAGTCAAACTTGATGTTTCCTCTCTTGACAGCAGGAGCTGGCTGGATGGTTTGTCTACTCTCTCATTCAGTTTAATTCCTTATTCAGTTTAATTGCTTTCTGTACTCCAATTTTCACATGGGTTTCATGATAACCCTTTCCCCCTGAACAAAAAGAAATATTTCTCTTTCCTTCACTACCACTCTTCGCTCTAAGAAAGGCAATCCTCTCTTGGAGGAGAAAGAAACCCTATGCGTACTTAAGGTGGGAGGAGGGTAAGGGTGAGAGAGAGAAAAGGAGAGAAGACTGAGATTGGGGGTGGAGAACGGAGGAAAGAGAACAAGAGAAGGAAAGAGGAAGCAAGAAGATGGGGGATGCCCAACATCAACTCCAGGCTCTAACACACCAGCGCTATGCAAAGTGCTTTTCCAGGATATGTACATGTGGTCTCACATTTCTCACAATAGGCCACCGGGGGATCCCTCCCTAGGTCTCCCACCACCAAAACCCAAGTGCTCCAAGAAGAAAATCTTTCAGACTGATTCAAACCCACAGGCACCAAGAGGTAGCCGCGCTACCAGTCGCGCAGCCTTACCTGGAGGCAGGACCAGGAGGTGGTGCCGGGTCTTGTCCCCGCTGCTCTCTCTGCGCTGATGCCAGGCACAAGCGTACTCTCTCGCTGCCTCGGCTCTCAGAGGGGCAGCCTGCAACACAAAAGGGGTGTGTGGGTGTGGGTGTGTGGGAGGATTTCCAGGGCCACCAGCTGGTCCCAGCTGGCCGCCCCCACCCTACACACACCCCTTTGGGGCGCTGAGCCCCCTTCTCAGCTGAGCACCACCCTGGGGGTTTGCACAGGGTGCAGCCTCAAGTTGCCGCTGATAACTGCTGCTGCCGCCGCCGCTGCAGGAGGAGGAGGTGGAAAGACACTGGGGGCAGTACTCGAGCTAGAGCATCCCCACACTGCAGCTTCTCCAGGAATCCCTCCAGTGAGGAGGCGGCCGCCCATCATCTCCCAGCCCCAGCATCCTGATTGGTTCCACCACGGGTACGCTGCGCCAAGGAGCCAATCCGGGAGCACTAATAATAGGTGGATCCGCTCAGCCAGCATCGCCCATCCCAGTTCTGTTAGTGTCTCTCCATCCCCACAGCGGACTGGGACCCGAGGAGGGGGGTTGAGGAGGGTTGGGGGAGGGGGATGAACTAAGAGGGGAACAGATCCCAAGGAGACACACTCAAGGGCATTTTTATAAACCCCGTGGGCTGGTTCAGGGGTGCCCACAACCTGTTCAGCAAGCCATATGCACAGGATAAGACAGCATAATACAAAGCTTTTTTTTTTTTTTTTTGTACTTTCAATCAAAACCTGCCCCTGATACTGAGCATGCCCAGACTGCCACAGCACCCTAGAGTTTCGATGTGTGTGGGTTTCCAGGCTGTGGGTTTTTGAAAAGGTGGGAGCGGGAAGGGAGAGGCAGAAGTTTGTCTTTGGAGGTTTGACCCGGAGGAGTTGTGAAAGCAGGGCAGGGTGAGGCTGTGAAAGGATTCCGCACAAGTGTTCTAAACTGAGCCACGGGAAGGTAGCCCGCTGGCTGTCGGAGGGAGCTAATAACATGATTCTGTTAGAGCTCGGGTTCGGAAGCGGGATTAGAATCACCTAAACCCCGGCGGATGCCCAGAGACTTCCCCGGAAGGGTGCGGTGGACCCGAGATGCAGGGGAAGCTCTGTCCCATAGGTGGGGCCGAGGAGCGCGACTCCACCCAGCAGCTGCGCCTGCCCAGCCGTGGAGAGTGCACTGGGAGTTTCCACTGCGGCGACCCATAAGTTTGTAGACTTGGGTCAAGTGCGACACTGTTGGGTTCGCTTCCCTCGTACCCCTTTTTTGTGTGCCTGTGTGTGTGTGTGTGTGCGCGCGCGCGTGTGTGTGTGTGTGTGTGCGCGTGTGTGTGTGTGAGTGTGCGCGCGCGCGCACCAGCCCCCTCCCCCATCTCTCTCCACCCCTACCAGCAGCAGCGCAGTGATGACTAAAGCGCAGGTTTCCTCCTTCCTCCCTCTCTTCCCAGCTCTACCCTTCTGCTCGGAAGTAAGAAGCTTTTCCCTTGTGAGAGCGGTGGTGACCTGATTGTCTCTAAGCTCTCAGGCAATTTATAGCTCGGTAATACCGTGAGATACCGAGCAGGGAGGTTCAGCGGGTGGGGGAAGGGAGGGCGAGGCAGCCAAGGGGCGGGAGCAGACCCAGCTCAGGAGAGGAGCAAGCCCATTACCTGCTCCACAGGTGAAAGGCTTTCAAAAGGCAAAGAAGTTATTTCCCTTTCTCACTCACTTGACCTTGTTTAATGGCCTTTGAACCTCTTATTTGTTTTGCTTAGAAATTCTAGCAGTTTGGGTAAACTTGATCAATAGCTACAAATGAGAGCTCCCCTAATTGGACTCTTTATTTTACTGAGATTATCTTGGCATCTCAGGTAAGGAAATAAATAGCTCTCTCAATTCCCCAAACTCATCCACTTTGAACTGGAGTTTTATTAACATTGGTGTGCAAAGGTAACTAGCTAGAATTCAATTAACAGTAACACATTTCTCCAAGTTTTTAATTAAATCTCTCCTATTTGTGTAATGTTTAAGATCTTTATTCTAAATATAGGGGAAAAGAAGACAACCTTGATATAAACTTATGCTTCTGAGTGGCAAACCCTTGTGGTTTGGGCTGTTTGCATAGAAGGGAGTTTAGTATTAGAGGCAGAAGTTTGAAAAGAATGCACCCTAAATTATAACTTTATGTAAATAATCATCTTTCATTTTGAAAAAATATTACCCACACCTTATTTTAAAAGAATTTCATACTTGGAGAAAGAAAATAATAGAAGCTACTTTAAACCTGATTTTAACTATTTGCTGGAAAAGGTGGAGAAGAAAGAGGAAGAAAAAGAATCAATTACCTAATTACCACTTTAATTTTGTTGTCCAATAAACCTCTTTGCATGAGAGGATTATAATATCCACCTAATAAAGATCTTTGTTCTAAAAATATACCTAGCACATTTTCTAGATTCTGATTATTAAAAACTGCATGTTTGTTCTGTTTACCAATAACTACAGATAGAAACAAGTATACTTATTTTAGGAAAAATTAGTAGAATATGAATAAAGATTTTTGAATCTTTGTCCCAGATCTTGATCAACATTTTAACCAATTTCTTTTCCTGTCTACATAATGTACTACCGCACAATCTCACTCTCACTAATCAAACAGGGACAGGGTTAGAAGTTGGTATACCAGTGTTTCTACAAGGAGAACATTGGCTAACAGAAGAACATGGGCTGCTTTCATCAATTGGCTTTTGGATATAAACTATTTTTATTTAAGAATAAAGTTTTTATTCTTCCTTCTATTTTCATGTTCTTTCCTACTTCTGGAAAAGAGCCAAGAATTCTGCCTATTGTTACTGGGTTGACACGCCATCAACTATACTTCTCTTTTGCACACAGTGTACATTACCTCTTTGCTCTGTGAAGTAAATGCCTCTTCATTAAAAGAAAGATCAGATCAGTTTGTCCTTTCTCTCTCCTTTCACTCTTATTAGCCCATTTCTCAGGTGTTTTTATTCATAGAAGCCTTATATCTTTTGCTACTGAGCCTTAACTTATAATCTTTAGTTGTTCTATTTTTTTAATTATTTATGGTTTTCAGAATTATTTCTACTTTTTAAAACAGTTTACTTCCTATTGGCTAACTAGCCCTTGTTTTATTATCTTTTTCATGTTATTTTTGCTCTGGTCAAGATTTCATTATCATCATTTTCTTTATTCCTTTTTTCATTGAATGCTTCCTTTGTCATCTATTTCAGGCTACAGGATTAGAATAGAAACTAAATTGAACTAAATTGGATCGGGGCATTGAGGAGAAAAGTGTGTTTTATGGCAAGAGTGGGAATTAGGGACTTTAGAAACTAGAAATTCATTAACTACAAACTTAGTCAAGGTTTTCTATGGACCACAGAAAGAATACTTAAATGAGAAGTGGGGGTCAGGGAGCGGGAAAGAGGGGGAGATAGATACCAAGAAAAATCTGTACGTTGGTGGAAAGGCTAAAATAGTGATCAATGGTATTAAAGAGTTGCATTTAATTAAGGCTTTCATATGTCATTAAACTTTATATCCTTAATAGCCACACCAGTTATCTGGTAAAAGCTATTCATAAGTATAATTACCCATGGTTGTAAAAAATGAAAAATAACCCACTTCTTTAAAATGTTTTCTATTTTTGTCCATTGTTTGTACAGATGCAAATTCTTTTCACTTCAGACCTCCTATGCATTTTTTGGCCATTGCCTTTCGAGATACTGTCTTTTTTCTTTTTGTATTTCTTTCTCTTTCCTGTACAGAAGATTGATTAAATGTGTGAGAATCTAGGTAAAACACCAACTTCCCCACTAATTGGCTATGTGTCCTTGAAAAATGTAAAAAAAAAAACCAAAAAACCCTTCAGGCCTCAGTTTTCTCATTTCTAAAGTGAACATAAGAATAAATCATATATCTTTAGGGTTTTGTGAGGATTAAGAAAATCTATACAACTAACATGATAGTTTCAAGCATATAGTAAGGATACAAAGACTACTAACCATTTAAATTATTTTAGTATTATCATCACTGTTCTACTGCTATTTTATTATTTTCTTTTTTCCCCCCAGATTTCTGGGAGATTGTTTTTCCTCATTTCATTCCTTTAACACAATAGTGTGAATAGACTCTTCACCTATGAGCATTAAATAAGAAGGAATTTATTTAATTCTTATCATAAGAAATGATGCATGAAATACAGGTATTCATCTGTCTTCCATATACTGTTCTTTGAATGCAAAGTTCAATATGATAAATTATTTAATTGTTAGAAAACATACACTTAAGTATTTTCTCATTAAAAATTAGTTTGTGTTATTTTTAAAAATTTAGAAACATCCAATTACATTTGTAAAAAGTTGGTGAACACTGATGTTTTTTTTTTTTCTTTCCTTTCTAGAAAATGTCCTTAAAGATAATGGTAGCTATCCATTTTGATTTCTCTTCTACTTCTCTCTCTCAAGATCATTTGGCCTAGCATTACTGCTAATGATTTTATAGCCAATTGGTAAGGAAAAAACATCAGTGCTTTCTGTATCAGAATTAGATAAAAAGAAATTAACCACATGGCTTTTTAGACTGATCACCCATGGTGTTTAATAAAAAAAAAAATCTAGAATTAAGAGAAGAAAAAAAGAAAATGAATACGGATGGGAGTGGAGTCTTTGTAGCATCGAGTTAGAATCCCACAATTCAACTACAATACTTTACAATTTCCAAAGAAAAGGAAATAAAGAGCTAGCACTATTCAATGTGGCTTTATAAAATCCTTTTCTTAAAAATATGGCTAAGAAAATATTGAAAATGAAAAGGAGGACAGTGACTCAAAAAGTAATATACTGTGTCAGGCTGTTGAGGTTAGCAAGGAAAATATTATTTAGGTGAATCTATCTTAAGGGCAAAATAAAAGTAGTTTGAGCTAATGCTAGCCAAAGGGCTTAGAAAGGAAACAAATGATACACTTTTCAAATACTCCATCATGTAAAGAGTATATACTGTGGTGAAGACTAGTTTGCTAATAAGGCAAGAGCAACATTAAAGTTTATATTAATCCCAATCAAAACAGAGGAAGGATCTCTATATTTTTATATAGATAAGCATAGTTCAACTGCTTCATTCAACTTAGGGGAAAAGTATGTCCACAGAGAGTAACTAACCTTTCCAAAACTATAGAGGGCCACACAGGGAGAAAGCAGATTCGGTGTCTTCAATGAACTGTCTAAATAATAGTGTTTTCGAGAGAAGGACAGCAGACAATCAAGGGCTCTGCTTCAAGATTTGATCTGAAATGGTTTGTTTTCAAATAAGACCAGGGAAGACACAGATAGGTCTGTTTTCATTCTGGGGGCAGTTTTGGAAGCTTTTTTGCA